TCACGCTGCCTTTAAGATGAGAGTTCGCATGATATTAACTAAAGGGCCTATAACCTACATTGTTCTGAAACCGGCTGAAACACTCCATGAATGGGCAGGACTAAAACTACTGTATAGATGAATAGATGCATCATTTTTAGTGACATAACAAAAGCAAATGAAAAAAAAGGGTCATTTTTGCAGCTCAGTTTCCACATAGTTTGGAAACTTTTACAGTGTTTACTTACTACATCAGAATGTTATTCACACAAGAGAGGAAAATTCAGTTTTACATGATATGGCCCTTTAAAAAAAACATTATAGTAAAGTTTAAAGTCAGAAATGGCTGTGTGTAGGCTAACAACCGGCTCCGCAGAATGAAAGCAAAGCACTTTTAGAGAGAAGGGGGTCAGGCACAGCTCATGTGAGTGAAATGAACTCAGATTGAACAGAGTCTGTATCTCCAGGCCTTTACAATAGAAGGCCTCCTGAGGTTTGATCCATGAATTTTGCCATGTCACACCCTTTAAAAAAAACACGTCTTTAAAAAGACCATTTGCATTAAAACAGAGGGTTAAATGAAGCGCATGGAGCTAAGGGGCAGGCACTGGTGCGTACACACACACACACACACACACACACACAAGCTTGCAGCTTTCTCCTCACAAATGGTCCGAGTGCTCACATTTACATTGTAAAGCTGAAGGGTGAGGAGAAGGGGGGGGGGTCACGAGGGGGCTTTGGCCCTGCTCTCTATTTTTGTTTCCTCTTTTTGTGCTACACACACACACACACACACACACACACACACACACACACACACACACTGCAGTGGATTTTTCAACTTGGCCCTCATCAGTTGTGTGCCTGATGAAACAAACACTGACAGCTCCTTTACATTTGCAAAGGCCCCTGCAGCAGCTGTGCTCGTCCCACCACACACACACACGCGCACACATGCTCGCGAATCAGAGCCTGACCCCAGCTGAGCCGAGAGAGAGAGCGAACATAAGGGAATAGAGAAAGAAAGATAGACAAAATAGAGTGGTAGAGAGAAAGAGATGGGGGGAAAGAAACAGACAGAACAGAGAAAAAGAGACAGAGATAGAGAGGAAGAGAGAAAAGTGGGGGACAAAGAAAAAGAGGAGAAAATGAAAGATAGCACAAGCGAGGCAAAACAGAGAACAAGAGAGAGGGTATACAAAAAAGAGAGAAAGAGCAGAGAGAGAGAGGGAGAAACAGATAGGAGAGAGAGAGATGCATAGAGAGAATAGAGAAGGGGAGAGACAAGAAACAAGAGAGAGCATGAGGGAGAGCAAAGAATTGCGAGAAATAGGAAAGACAGACAAAATAGAGAGGAAGAGAAAATCAGAACAGGGGGAGGACAGAGGGAGAAAGAGAAAGATAGAAAGAAAGAAAAAAAAAATTCCACACACACACACACACACACACACACACACACACACACACATGGCCACACATGGCTAGCCCCCTTGGTAGCCCCCTGGTTCCCCCCTGAACTGTGTGCCATGTTCACTTCAACAGAACAAGAACACAAATGAGCGCTCCGACTGCATTCATTAGCCAGGCCTCAACTCCAGACCGGCGCAACTCTCCAATCTAAAATATCCGTCAAAAATAATTACTCGGAGATGCTGCCTCGCTGAGGGTGCTCGTCAGGACGGCCTCATCTGCCATTAAAGGAGGTCATTCTGAAAGCAGAAGTGGGAAGAAGCACTCTCGCTAACTTTATTCTCCTGTTAACATGCCCTTCTATTAGGGGTGGAGCGATATATCTAGCACTTACATACAGTTTTCTAAGTGTCGGTTGATCTTTGTTATGTGTTAAAAATGATTATACACTGCACAGCCTGGTTTAGCTCAGAGAAATAAAACAAATTATCCAATAGAAGTTTTATTAATGCCTATCTTGCTGCCCTCTAACAAAACAAACCAATATCGACAATCAACAAAAATCAACAAAACAATATTGAAATCGCCAGAAATCGAGCTTGAGCGCATGTGAAGCATAAGCCCCACCCACTTCCTCACCCACTTTACTCTGAAAAAATATTTAACTAGTTTTGATCACTTGGTTATAAATTTACACACCCTGTTAATTTTTGACACTGCACTCTTAACATCAATCAAGGTCAATTGTATTTTCCCTGTTTGCTTACCACCCATTATAATTTCCCCTTTTTCTCTTCCTGCAGATGAATTTTAATAACATTCATAGCACATCAGATGTGAGAGGGGGGTGGTGGGCAAACAACTTGCACTCTTGTTCCATGGGATATGGTTAAGCCAAGCATGTATAATTGTCTTACGCTAATTAAGGGGAGGTTAAATTAGAAGGGCCAAGAGTTGTGCGGCGAGCGCAGGCCCATGGGACGGCTCCTCCAGGTTGTTTTTGTTGTTCGCCTGGTTTAGTCGGACCAGATTTCACCCACAGCTGCCTGCGCTGTGCAGACGTGACGGGATCGGCCATGTTCCGCGCGCTCCCTCTACACACCACACGCATGATACTCACACAACTGGGTAGAACAATTTAATTTGAATCCTACTACTCGTAATAATATTAACAACTATGTTCAAACAAAGCAGTAAGTCACGACAGCACATTGAAAACAGGACAAACAACCTGCTTATTTCTGATTCTGAGATAGTCCATATACAGCTCATACACGTCACCCTACACTGTTAGAAATAAAGGTGCTGTGCAGGTCCGTGTTTTGTTCATCAAGGTACAAACAATGTAAATGTTCCCTCAAAGGCACAACAGTGGTTTTAAGGCCCAACTGTGTTCCTTAATAAGTTTTGCCAGGTGAAAAGTACATTTTTGTATCTTTTCATAACTTAGAGAACAATAAAATGAAAAGCCTGGAGACGAGACGGGTGTGTGGAGTCAATACAACTTAGAAAATATCATTTCAAATGGATAATGGAACAGTTACGTTCACTGACTAAAGGTACTGAAATGTACCCTTGAGGGTACCACCTCAGAGGGGTACTGTCCCCGTGACAATTTCATACCTTTATTTCTGTAGACTTGCATTGAGAAGCCTGAAAATTTCCATTTTTCAGACACTTTTTAATATGATGCATATTAGTATTATTATGAAATGTTCTCACCATCCCTTCCATAAGCTGTTTCTTTTCTGCTCAGATGAAGAAGTTGCCATTTACCATATGAGTCAACATTTACCAAAAAAAAAAATCCCTGTTCACCAGCATATCAAACATTACCGAACAACCAACGAGATAAGTGACCTTTAAAAAGTGAATTTGGCAACAATTTTAGTTATATCAGCTTTACGGGAGTAAAAGATGTTTCGTTCGTGTTTATTAAAACACTCAGAGTTGTGGCTGACAGCCATTTCCTCCAACTTCAACAAATCAAACGGCAGGGTCACCATCTTGCTACTTTAAAATAAGAGAGCAGCTGTAAAACACCTTAAGAAAAGCACTGCAAGTCAGCCAACCTCCAGCTGCAGCCAGAGGCTCATGCATGCAAACACACCAACAAAGCTCACTACTGTCACCGTGTTTTCACTTTTTTTAAATAACCTGTTGCCAGCTCTTAAAAATACTGATCATAATGAGACCAAACAGTGATGGACAATGAAATCCCACACAGTAGTCATTAAAACACATGGGCTGCTTGAAAGAAAAGTTAAAGAGAGAGGCACGTGACTGCTTCAGAGCCAGTTTTTTTCTTTTTCTTTTCTTTTTTTTTCCTCCTCTCGTGCTAACCCTTTAAAAGACACGGATCTGGGACAGCCCCATGTACACCTTCTCCTCCTATTAGCCTCATATACATCTTTAGGATGCTGTGTAGCAACATTTAGGTATTTAAATACCTAAAAAATACGAAATCTTCCAAAAGATCTTGGTGCATTTGGAGACTTTAGACTGGCCCAGGCTTCTGCAGCCGGGGTCTTTGTTAGGCTGGTCTTAACCATGCAGATTAAAGTTAAACAAGGCAGACTGTCCCACATCCACCAGTTTGAGCCTGTTCACATTTTCACATGCTGATGAAATGATTCTGTACCTCTTTAAAACAGCACAAAACGACCCCCACAAATAAGCAATGTGAACCAGCTGCCTGAAATGCTGCATGTGAAGCAGTGGGGAGGTTCTCCGTGGCGCTTGAGCCATTTAACTCCACAGATTTGCCCAGAGAGAGAGGAGAAAAGCACAATAAAAACAAAAACGATGAGCTGAAATGTTGCAGAATGCACCTCCATTAAATGCTCAACATTGGCACAGCAGCACTGCATAAGGGGGAAGCACGCTAAGCAACCCCCCACAAGGGCAGTTTCTGGGCATTTTCACTCCTAAAATAGGGGGTAGAAGCCTCCTCCTAACCCCAGGGGGGCGGTTGGGGGTGGAAATGAGCCGGGGCAAGAGCACCATACCATCGGCCAGAGGCTCCAGGTAGAGCCGTGCTGCAGTCTCCAGATATCAGCGCGCAGAGGGGACGCAAAGAGGGTGGATGATGGCAAGTTATGGAGCAGTTGTGTGTATTTTCGTTGTTTATTTTTGTGGAGGGGAAACGGAACCCGGAATATAAAGCGCCATGGCTGCTGCTGCTCTCTCTCTCTACTCCGAGGGAGAGAGAGACAGAGAGAGAGAGAGAGACGAACAAAAGCCGAGCTGCTTACACTTCATATTGGTGCGCCGGGGTGCTATTTCTTCCACAAAAACAAACCAAGTGTTAGAAAAGGCAGCATTTCAGCGAGTTTTGCTACGAGTGTCGAACAAAACTGATGATAACCAAACTTGAAAAGCCCTGTGAGAGATTTTAAGCCATTCTCAGCCACATATGCACCACAACCACAGCCGTAAAACCGTCCCTTTATAAACCATAACGTGCAAACTTTGCATTTTTTCCATCAAAAATCCAAACCCAGCCCCACACGGAACGCTAACCTAGCTAACACAAACACAAACACATGCGAACTCGCAACTCTGCAGCTTTCGCGTTAAACAGGGTAGAAAAAGAGGGGAAAACTTACGTATTTCTTGATATTTCTTTTGATATTTCTCTTAGGCCGTTCCTTGCTCATCCTGTAAAAAAATAAAAAATGTAAAAAAAAATCCCAAATGTGTGTCGCTAAGGAAAGAATCGCCACATGAATTTGGTCTTCTTCTGCGTCTCCTTCTCGTCTTCGGTGCAAAGCCCCCAGAAAAAAAGGAGAGAATAGGAAAAAACACGATTTAAATCCCCCCGTGTGTAGTTTTGCCTGCTCGCCCAGTAGAAATCCCCCCTTTTCGGCTGTTAAACTTCCTTCTGTAGCTGGGAATTGTCGATAAAATCCCACAAAAGCGACTCAGTTGTCCATGATGAGCAGCGAAAGCCGAACGCTAGCATAGTTTAAAAACAACTTACATTAGTGGTGCACGAGAGGCGACCGTTGGCACATCCCGGCTTTTAAAACACATTAAACCGTTAACGCCTGTTCTCTCTGCCGTGTGTTCATACGGCGAATGTCACATCTTTTCGCGAAATAAATAACATTAAAACGAGTACAAAAACACGCTCCGTGCTCGCGTCCCAGGCTAGAGCGATAGCAGGCGGTGAGTGAACTCTCCAGCACCACAGCTAATGTGTACAAGACCAGGCTTCTTTCTTCCTTCTACAAACTCGTCGAAACAGCCGCGGCGAGTATGTGGTGGTTGTTTCCCCACCCGTATTCCGACAAACCCCTCCTTCCGTGCTAGGATTGGCTGGCAGGGTCCCGCCTTCTGGCCAGCGAGCTCGTACTCAAGCGCTACGCCGAATCGCGGCGTTCCGGTTCACCATAGCAACGGCGAAACTTTGCTCGACGTTCGGCCCTTTCTTGCTTTTGCTCTCCGATTGGCCGGCTACCTGTGTGTGTGCCAGGGAGCCAATCGCAGCGAGGGAGGTGGGAACTACCAATCCTAGCCAAGGAGGCGGGTGTTGTGCGAATACGGGTAGGGAAAAAATATTACAACAACGCGGGAAATTTAAAAGGACTGCAGTGTTGCAGATCAGTCCAGCGAAGTCCTGCGATAACAATGCAGGTTATATTAAAGAGAGAAGGAGAACTATTTCAAATGATATTCACTTACACAGATTGTGAGAATCAAAGTGCCGTAGCCAGGTTACAGGTTGAGGCGACCAGCTGACACTCCTGTGTCCACTGATGAAGGACTAGAGGATGACCAACACAAACTGTGCAGCAACAGAAGAGCTACTGTCTCTGGCTTTATATCTGCAAGTTGGACCGACAAGGCAGGAGCGTCTAATAGAGTGGACAGTGAGTGGACACAGTGTTTAAACACTCCAGCAGCACTGCTGTGTCTGATCCACTCGTACCAGCGCAACACACACTAACACCCCACGTCAGTGTTACTGCAGTGCTGAGAATGATCCACCACCCAAATAGTACCTGCTCTGTGGTGGTCCTGTGGGGGTCCTGAAGAACAGAATGAAAGGGGAGTAACATATGCAGAGAAACAGATGGACTACAGTCTGTAGTTGTAGAACTCACCTATATGTTTCAAAAAAGGTTCTTTAGTAAAGAAAATGGTTCTATATAGAACCATGAACACTCAAAGAACCCTTTGAATGATCACACAGAGGGTTCTTTGAGTGTTCATGGTACTATATAGAACCATTTTCTTCACTAAAGAAACCACTGAAGAACCATCTTTTTAAGTGTGTAAGAACAGAAGAACTGTTTGGGTGCTATATAGAACCCTTTTTTAAAAGTGTCTATATAGAACCATCTACAGCACATTCTCCATCAATCTGAAGAACGCTTTCACCATGAAAAGAACCCTTTAATCACACAAAGTGTTCTTTGAGTATTCATGGTTTCATATAGAACCATTTTCTTCACTAAAGAACTCTTGAAGGACCATCTTTTTTAGGTGTGTATATGGTCAGTGGAGCTAATAAAATAGACAAAGGATGTAGAAACAAGGAGGTGAGTCCTGAATATGCCTTACTGTCTGATCTACCATATCCAGATATCTATAATTACCTTGTAGATACTGCAGCAGCCCACACACCTCAGGGTCAGCATGATTCTGTCTTTTGCACCATCAACTACACCATCAAAGATCGTCGTGATCACAGTAGTGAGTATCTATGTATGTATGTATGTATGTATTTATGTAGTGTATCTATCTGCATATTTGTGTTTGATGGGGTCACTCAGTGTTGGCCGTAGCTTAAGCTGAGCCTTGCTAACGTTCTTGCATTCTCACAACTGTACTCAATATCTAGATAAAGCACAAGAGATCAACTCAGACATAAATAGTTAGGTTGCATAAATCAGTCATCAATCAGTGGCTGTGTTTACATGCAAAGATTTTTGGGAATCCTACTGAATAAATTCTGATTATAGATTCAGGTTTTTTATGCTCATTTTACTCAAAAATCTGATAAAATATCTCCGTTTACATGCTCCCTGCAAGTAGTCCGATCCAAAATTACGCAAGTACCACTTAGTGTAGACGTTACCATGACAACGAGCATCGCATGAGTCCCGTCAGAGCAAGACGAGCAGCAGTGAGCAGCGCTTGTGTTTTTAATTGCTTTAAAACTATGTCAGACTCAGAAAAACATCCTCCACATGTCCTTATTAAAGAAGGCCGAGAGGAAGACGTCGTGTTCTGAGACACATCAGCTGGACGCCCGTCCCACCGCCGTCTTTTAAAGATCAGAGCATGAACTTCGTCTCCTCTGCAGACCAGTTTCTGCTCCGCCATGTTGAACGGTATAAACTTTCACTATGACGTGACGAACATGATCAGAACGTACTTAAACTTTCTGATTGGGAATGTAATCAGATACAGGCGTTTACATGGATATTATTCTTCTATTTAACGTACTATTTACAGGATTACCCACCTCGGTCAATTGGATAGAAATTGTATTTCTAATCTATTCCGATTGAGGTGTATACATAGATGTATTCTATTAGTCGGATTATTAATGGATTGTCAGGCTGCATGTTAACATGACTGCCACTCAAAAATGATCGAAGCTGCAGAATTCATCCTTCACCCAACTGAGCAGACCTTTGAGTAGGGAGAAGCTGAAAGCTTTTCCTGTTTATTCTCACGATCCAAAGATTTCTCTTTGGCTGGCTTAGGTCTTCAGCCTTTTTCACCTCACACATACCACAAATGAAGCAGAAATTCACCAGTTTCTTGTTCATATTTTCGATTCCACCTTAAAAGAAATGGCAGGTAATGCTCAAACCATTTAAGGTAGAATGGAACATTCACAGAATATTCAAGAAGCTCACTATAAGGCCTAGTATATCATGGTGGAAAATGACTAATTAACCAGAGCCATAACTTTCACAGCACTAGAAGTAGACGTTTAGAGCAAATGGTTGAAGACCGCGATGTTCACAGCTCAGCTAAGTTCTCATCGTCAGGAGAAACAGTGGAGCAAGCTAATGCTGTGTTAACTTGTGCAAGTAAACATGAAAAAAAGTATTTTTCCATACGAGAACTCAGGCCTTTGCCCATAATGATCTTACGATTTTGTAATATTTTCATTAGCATTGGAGAATTATGTTGTAACAGTCTGAAATCTGGCAATGCCCGACCACCAGGCCTCCCCGTAGGTGTACCCCTGCTGTAAAGTTCCTGGAAAATCTCTAGCCTGAGATTTCAAATAGGCTCACGATGCAGGTAGGCCTGAATGTCAGGTCTGTTTTGTCTGCCACTTCAGGGGAATTATGCTTAAGTACTTTTTGAAAACTTTTTCCTCGGCTGAATGTTTTGCAGAGAAACTGAAAATTTTACAGTTAAGCTGTCGCAGCTACAGTAAGTTAGGTTACGTATCACCCAGTTTATTCAACAAACACGAGGGCACTCAAGAAATGAGTCACACACTTGAAACTACAGATGTAGTCGAATGAATTAAGAGGTGATGAGCCGGTGATTCACAAAGAAATGTGTCACATCAAGCGGGAAGTCGATATCAACCACTTTCATCATCATCATGGGTGAAAGCACAACAACCCTCACATTCTGGGAACGAGTGACTTGACAGATACAAAACCCACTACACTACATGGTTACCGCAATACTGAGCAATGGGTATGTGTGAGAGTGTGTATTTAGTTCTTTGTGGGGACCAAATGTTAGCAGGATGTTGGAAAACAGGAGCATTTTGACATCATAGGAACATTTGGCTACTTTTTTCTAAACAATGACTGCAGCTTTTGTTAGCTGTATGTAGAGGCCAAAGATTAACATTTGGTTCCAGACATTTAGGTGAAGGTTTGGTATACAGCACTTAAAAAACATTCATACAGATTGTATTCACAGTATTTAAGCTTCCCTATAAAAATTGTGAATTTACAGCACGTATTTTACAGTAAAATACCTGTTTGTCATTTTACAGAATCATACTGTAAAAGACACAGGAACATACCAAACAACGTAATTTATGGTAATTTAAAGTCATTTACAGCCAGTTACAGCAAATAATTGTATATTTAACATATAGGTAAATACTGTAATACTGAATTTACAATACTTTACTGGCAGCTCTGCTCTTTATATAATAATTTTATGGTAATTTTTACAGCGTGATCATACAGAAGCACATGGAACATCCCAGAAAGACAGGAATACAAACTTGTGTGTGTTTGAGAGCTTGTCTTCCTCTTTTCTCCCATTTGCATGTGCTCAGGCCTAGTCTAGTGTTTCTCAATCCAGTCCTCAGCCCGGGTCGAACACAGTGTTCACAGTTGAGCCCCGTTCCAGCACATTTTAAGACATTTCCTGATCTAACACACCTACTTTATGAGGGAATTGCGAATGAGCTGATGAGTTGAATTAGGTGTGTTAGAACAGGAAATCGCCAAAGTGAGTAGGACGGAGGTTATTAAAATGACCATTGGAAAATACTGCATAATGAGTACAGGTAGGAAGTTAAATGGTACAGTATAATGAACATTACCACAAGTTTACATGTTTGGTATTTTAGTTGCAAAGCTGGGCTGATTCCAAGGTTCTTCACTAGCACACACATGGCCAGAGGTGATTTAGCTTCATCATGTGGCTTAGAGATCTTATCTGAGATCTCACAGTTTCCTCAGCTCTTTTGAAATGAGTTTTAAGTTCTATGAAACCATTGATTCAAGATGCACCATTTACTCCCCAGTCCATATATGGAAGCTGCAAACAGCTCATTTTAAATTTATTGTGGTTGTGACATTAAACCCATGAACACATGTGACTGCCCATTAAGCCTACAGCAGTGTAGCCCACATTCTCATTGAAGTAATGAGGAGTGTTGTTCCTGCAGACAGTCAGAAGCAGAGTTATTGGAGGGAAAAGATTAAACACTGTGCTGTCTCTCCCTGTTGGGAAGAGCCTGGACTTGGAGGTGCAATACAGGGCAGCCAATCAGATCAGCAGTAATTTACATACATCAGTCTTACAGACACCGTAACCCAAGCCTGTTTACACAGAGGAAAAAAAAACTCTTTCTTAAGATTGTCTCAGAGAAATAAAGCAGATCTCAATATTATACTAATGAAGGATCGTTGATTTCTGAATTGTTTCTCCTGAACCCCCCTCAGGAGAAAAGAGGAGATCAACATCAGCATTTCACTGTGAGAAGTTCTGGTGATGAAGGAGAA